GTGAATCATATAGCTGATCAATTTGTATATATAAGTGAATCAGTCGTGATGTTTGATCTGCTCAATTCAGACAACAATTTTTTATTTTCTAAATGCGGTAGAAATTGCCTTAAACAGGCACGGTGAAGCTAAAAGATCGAAGTGTATTGGAGATCATTTAGGTTAAGACTTTGAGAGTTGAGTATGAAGATTAAAAAAAAATTGATTCCAACAATATTTAATTAAATTGGGTTCCGTTCAAATTTTATTTTAAGATTAAATATTAAATATATAAGTTTTAATTTAATATATGATGGAATATATAAAGTCTGGATAGAATGAATAATCCTATTAAAATAAGATTGAATAAGATAAAATATAGCATTTCAAACAAATAATATTAAAAATCAAGTGGGATGAGACACTAGATTCTTTAAGTAAGGTCAGAGAGTTTGAACATTAGTATTTGCGAACGAAGCAAACTGGGTTGGGAGGGTTGCTCTCGCCTCTACATTATCCGATCTTGATTAGTCAGTAATAGATCGAATACCAGTGATTAATTCAAATAAAAATATTTTTACATTAAAAAATTAAAATTTAAAAGTTATATTACAACGCATTTGATCAAATATGTTTTATTTAAAAATAATAATAATCTCACGATGATACTGTTAAGATTATTGTGGAGTAAAACTTTGAGATAAGAAAGAGAAAAAAGATGTTTATAAAATAAGCAAATGACCTCGTGGCAGTAGCCTTTGTTTATAATTCCAAGTCTATGGTCTTCCTTTATTATTTGGAATAGAGGAGAGACTATTCCGCACGCGTGATACGACCTTTTTCCCTTTACAAGAAAGAGTAAAGAAATGGAGCCCAACAAATACATATGGAGTGAGGTCAGTGAAGAGTGTACCTTTGATTAGGTTTATTTATATATATAAAAATCAATTCGGAATCATTCTCATGTGATTTGTTACCCCCCAACAACTTCCATTTATCATTTGATATATGCAGTGATGATGGGAATATTCCCTTTTACGTAAATTGGTTCGCAGATCGCCCCCATGGGGTCTGTGTCGCCGACAATACCTTTTTATAACCGAGTTGCAGGGCCGGTTTAGAGCATCTGCCAACGCTGCACCGAAGGTTGGTTTGATAAGAGAATTGTCTGTTCCACAAAGAATAATATAATATCACAATCACATCTTCATTTCAATTTCCCATCTTCCTATTTGCATTTTCCTCGATGCTCTGCATCTGCTACCCAACCGCCTTTCTCATAAAAACCGTCCAATAACATTCTCTCGAATTCAGGGAAATTGCGTTATTATTTCTTAAAGGTTTAACTTTCTTTTTCCGGTCCCATTTTTCAATAGATTTCAATATTTATGAAAATAGAAATAGTATGGGGTTGGTTCCATTAGTAATTAATATATGTGAGCATCGTCAAATCTCAAGCACGAAGTTGGTGGTGCTCTTAAATCCAAACATTGGGTATGGCCATCACTTTTTTCTCGATTGTTATCTCATGCTGAGGTATTCAAGATAACGAAAGTGGGCCAATATGTATATATTGTGGTAAGTTGCCCAGCCCTTTGTTAAAAGTACATTAATAGTGTAAATGAAAAGCACCAAGATTCTCCAAGTTGTTTTATCAACGCCAATATCAAATCCTTCCTTGTACTGTTAAAAGAAATGAAGCCAAAGTCAGAAAAAGCTTGCTTGCTAGGCCACTTTAGCCTCGGATCAAATCCCTTGTTTTATTTAACTCTACATTTGAAACAATATAGTTCTATAAAACGATTTTATATAGCTGTCGTTACCTCAATGCAGGGACGAATCAAGTGTGACCGTGGACGAGTTAAATTTGATATATTTTTTAATTTAAAAGATTATTTTAATATAAAATTTTAATTTTAATAATTTTTGTTATTATCATAAATTTAAGAGGGGCCATGATACATTGCCTCGCCCCTGTCTTGACGTCATCGCTTTGCACTTGAGATTACTTGAAAAACATTTAGGTTTGATAATGTTTTTTTTTAAAGTAATGTTAGTTAGAAAATTCATTTTAACTGTAATATTAATGTGAAACGAGTAAAAATGAAAAAAATTACGGTGAAAACGATTGTTTCAAACCAACAGCAAAAGTTAGAATTTATAGCTTTTTCATTTTTAACTTTACATTTGGAAGCAATTTAAAATTTTACCCTTACTAATGTATGAGTACCACTCAATTATATATTTACATTTTATTTTAATAATTTAATACTAATATCTTCAAAAAATAATTTATATCTTAATAATTTATTTTAATTACTTAAAAATAAATAAAACTCATGGTTTATATATAAAATATTAATTGCAAGTTATTATAAAGTTCATGGTCGAAAATGAATATATGCTCTTTTCAAATTTAATTTCTTAAAATAATCTCAAATAATTAAATTTAAAATTCTACTTTTGTACGGCACTTAAAAGTTCTGAAGTAAACTGCAATTCAAGCAACTAGGTAGCGGTATACTAACAAATGCTTTGGGAACTTTACTGATCAAAGAAAACTATCATTCCATTTCATATGCAAGAATTTGAAATAGCCTTTGCATAGACCAGAAAGGAAATTAAGAAAAGATGAGAAATCAGAGAAGAAAAATAGATGAGAATTTCAATAGAATTGCAACAATCAGCCTGCCATTCTTAATATACGGCTAAAAAAGTTCTACTGGTCTTATTATTATTTAAATAATAAAATCGGTAAAAAATTATTAAAAACTTTTTTATTTATACCGATTTTATTATTATCGAGCGTTTTACCGATTTTATTAATAAAATCGATAAAGTGTTACTAGTTTTATTATTTTTATACCGATTTTGTTATTGTTGAACACTTTTTCGAAAATGTTAAAAAATATTAATGTTTTAAGTAGAAATAATAATATTTTAAATAATTTTTTACTGATTTTATTATTTAAATAATAACAAAACTAATAATATCTTTTTTAAATTGTATATTAAGAGTATCATACGAACTTCCCGACATTCTTTTCTCTTGGATTTTGTTTTATTCCCTCTCTCTCCAAACGGTTAAGCCAATGCTGATGTGGCTCCCATGACGTAATCACCAAACTTGTGTGGAAGTTTCTTTGAACGAACAGCTCTCTTCGGCCAAGCTTTGCTCAATTGTACGGTATTCCCTGCTTGCTGATCATGTTGATTCATTGCTGCAGAATTGGCATCATTCATAACAATAGCAAATTCCCTTCTATATTATTGACCCAAGGCACACACACCACACGCTGCGAGCCACCGAAGGCTAATTTCATATACAAGTACAATGCAAACGTAAAAGAATTGATCACATGTTTATGGTCGTATTTACTTCACACACAAAAAATATTAACAAGAACCATTAATTAATTTAATCCGATGAGATATTAAATTTTTAAGATAAAATTCAAAATTCAAATCTTAAATTCATAAATAAAATAAATTGAATTGAAAGAATTTCAAATATTAACTATAGTGATAACATAAAGTGGATGAGGTAACCAAGACATTGGCCCAGGCTACCACTCTAGATCCAATAAATCCTATAAAAAAATTAATTTTAATCGTCAATTTTTTAATTATTTTATTTTTAATTTATATTAAATATATAAAATAAAATATTTAATTTGCAGTAATTATATTTATATATTTTTTAATTTTTAAAATATGATTTATATATTCAAATTAAATTTGAAAAATCATTTATATTAATCCATTATAATGTCTTTAAATTTTATTTTATAAAAAACCTTTTATTTATAATTATACCATAATAACAAGTTTTCATAAAATATTTTTATATTTTTATTATAATTTAACTTAAAATATTTCATATATAATATGAAGTTAAATATAATTTAAACTAATATATTTTTAATTACAATTTAATATCTAAAACTAACCTTTTATATTTTTCAAAATATTATTTTAACATCAATTCCAAATAAAGTTAAAATCAAACTTTTTTAATATCAACGGCCCTCAATATAAGTTCGTCCCGCTTGCATCTATATATATGAGTTATACCACAAAGCAATATATCTCTGGAGAGAAACAGAGACGCACACGAGGTGACAAGGATACGGGTTTTGTTTGATGGTGGTTGAGTAAGATTCTTAAAGGCACCCAAAGCTAAAAAAGCTGATTATTATTTTACTAAGGTGTGCCAACTCCTCTCCCTTCTTTTCTGCTCATGCTTTCATCATTACAATCTTCAATTCTTTCCGGTCTGTTTTTGTTTTCCTGGATCGATCAATTCAAAGGATTTTGTTCATAACTCGTGATTTGGGGAAGAATAATGGCTAGGTTAGCCTTCAATTTCGTTTTGTATATTCTGCGTTTCTTACGCTATCAACAAAATTTCATATTGGTAGGCGCTGCTGAAGAAAAAGAAATTTTAAATGAAATTTTGGCCCTTTCAAACGTGATAAAAGAAACATCTTCTTCTTTTGAATTTCTATAGCCACTCTGCAGATATGTTTTTTCAATTTCTTTGCAGCTCTACAGATTTAAATGAATCGTGAACCCGGTAGCTGATATGTTTTTAATCTTTTGGTATGCACAATTTCATTCCTTGTCACCTGGTTTTGATTTCTCTCTCTCTCTCTCTCTCTCCCGTCCTTTGTTTTTCATAACCCTTTTGGCTGGCTACCAGCCTTCGACTATAACCTTTGGGCTTTATAATATATCCTCTTTAATTTACATTATTTTCAGTGGAGAGAGATTTAAGTTGGTACTATGCTTGATCTCTGAATATTGAGGTTTCCCTCTCGGAAAAAAAATTGTTCTAATTGCATTTTTAAACATCTAATTGTCGGATTCTACATATTATCTCTTTTTGTGTTTCACTTGATTATGGTGGTTGATTAACTCCTTGGTCCTTATTCAAATCATTGTTGCTGAAAGAAACTTTTTCCTCTCAACTTATTCCCTATCTACATGTAGGCTCCTTTGGTTATTGCCTAGTTTTTTGTCCCTCCCCCCTTTGGTTCTCTCGACTAGTACACTGTGCTTCCATCAGTTGCATAGTCTAATCTCTGTTATTTTCTTGGATTTGTTTTACCAGGTTGTATTTGTTCCTTGATATATCTGCGTTGCACAACCAAAACAATTGATGGTCCACATTGATGCTGGGGATCGAGATTTGCACAATCATGTTTCTTTTCCATTAACAAGTGATTTTGCTCAATCAAGTAACTGATGCTATTAGGGTTAGATGCGAAAATCTCGGAAACACCAGACTTCAGCCACTATACACAGGTTGTATGAACAACCTGTTAAAGAAAATGATCCATTTTGTTTGTCTCATATCCAGATATTAGACAACAATGCTTGTTTAGATATGGTCGGCGGAGGAACTGATGTCTCCTTCCAGACCTACAAGGACCAAGTTTTTACCCTGGAATCATCCACGGCAGCTGCTGGTTTTGATTCCCCTTCTGCCGTAAGCATCTCATCAAGCAGGAGTCCTTTCTCCCCACAAGGTTCTCAATCATACCTGTTTGATCCTCATCATTCCCCTGACAACACTTATAGATCACCATTCAGTGGATCTTCTGTTGTTGATGATAGCAATGAATTGAAGCACAAGCTTCGGGAGCTGGAACTTTCATTGTTGGGGCCTGAATCAGATTCTATAGATAGCTGCAATGGCTGCTTCATTACTGGGGCCCACCAAGCTGCTTCATTACTGGCGAGCTTCAACTGTGATCAACTGGTGGACATGATCCCTAACTTAGACTTGAAACAGATCCTTGTTGCATCTGGTCAAGCACTTCACGATGGTGATATGTTGACAATGACAGGTTTAATGCATGAGTTGGAGAAAATGGTTTCAGTGTCCGGGGAACCTATCCAGCGATTGGGTGCTTATGTGCTGGAAGGGCTTAGAGCTAGGTTGGAATCCTCAGGGAGTAATATCTACAGAGCTCTAAAATGCAAGGAGCCAACGAGCTCAGAACTGATGTCTTACATGCATATTCTCTTCAGGATCTGCCCATACTGGAAGTTTGCATACATGTCGGGTAATGTTGTTATCAGGGAAGTCATGGAATATGAACAAAGAATTCACATCATAGATTTCCAAATAGCACAGGGCACCCAGTGGATGTTTCTTATTGCAGCACTTGCAAAACGACCTGGTGGGCCACTGTCCATCCGTGTAACTGGTATTGATGATTCGCAATCAAATCATGCTCGAGGTGGGGGACTTGATATTGTGGGGCAGAGGCTATCAGAATTTGCTCGGTCATGCAATGTGCAGTTTGATTTTCATGATGCCGCTATATCTAGTTGTGAAATTCAACTAGAGAATCTTAAGGTTCACCCTGGGGAAGCCGTTGCCGTGAACTTCCCATACGTATTGCATCACATGCCAGATGAGAGTGTAAGCATCTTGAATCACAGAGATCGACTGTTGAGGCTGGTCAAGAGTCTGTCACCCAAGGTTGTGACTCTTTCTGAACAAGAGTCCAATACTAATACATCTCCATTCTTTTCAAGGTATCTTGAGACACTGGACTATTATTCGGCTATGTTTGAATCCATAGATGCAGCTTGTCCAAGAGACGACAAACAAAGGATCAATGCTGAGCAGCAATGTGTGGCTCGCGATATAGTGAATATGATTGCTTGTGAGGGGACTGAGAGGGTGGAAAGGCATGAACTTCTGGGAAAGTGGAGATCAAGGCTAACGATGGCTGGTTTTTCACAGTATCCATTGAGCTCTCCAGTAACTATGGCTGTAAGAGATATGTTGAAGGAGTATGACAATAACTATAGACTTGCAGAGAAGGATGGGGCCCTCTATCTTGGCTGGGTAAATAGAGCAATGTCGACATTTTCGGCATGGAGGTGAAAGCCTGTCAAACCATGCATTATGTAACTTCAATCCATATTTTTGTTTGTTTAGTTTTCTGTTGAAGTCTTTAAGAGCAAGGTTGTTTAGTGTTAATGTAAAACTAAAAGAAATATTAGATTAGCCTTTTCATTTTGTTGTTGTGATAGCGATAGGCAAGGAAAGCGACTTGAATGGCAAAATAGAAGTTTATACATCTCCATCCTGCATCCGGTAATGACAAGAAGTCATCCATTTTTCTATGCCATTTGGCTTCTCATTTGGACATTAACTGATCAATTTACAAATATACTTTTGCAGGTTTTAGCTAGCTCTTGTGAATTGGAGGGAGACAATAATAATGGAAAATATAAAGTGAATGTTGGATAATCCACTTTACCTTTTTCCTTACAAACTCAATATGCACTAGTTCTTGCTCGAAAGTGAGTACCCACTTCTCTACAACTTTAGCCAATGGAGAGGCAAGTGATGGAACTAAAAAAGCCAATAAATTTTCGTGTCATAAATTTTCCACCTGTACAGCCATTGCATGTAATGGGAGAAGTGAAGTGTCAACATAAACCAAAATCCGGTGAGCTCTTCTAGTCATGAGAAAGCACTTCAAGGCACCTCTTTTTCGTCTCATATTCCTTAATTTCCTCGAACTCTTCTCCATCTGCTTGTTGGCAGTTTCCTGAATCGCCCTCAGTTTTTCTCCTCTGAGGAACTACTCGAAAGAAGGAAGCTTTCCAGTCTTTTGTCTCGAGGAACTTGAGGAGTATCTCTATAACTTGGTTCACAGTAAGGACCTGCACTCATAGGAATGAAAATGCTAATTAGAGAAGAAAAGCTTAGAATAAACATTTGATTCTTTATTTGTTTGCTAGAAAATTAGTCTGATTGAAAGTTGTATAACTATAGCATGCAACCATTAAGATATAATATGCACTTTGCACTTTGCACTTTGCATTGTTAATCCCCAAGAGATTCTAGGCTAACTATTGCCTTTTTCGGGTTTTCCTTGCAAGTAACATATAATTGCATCAACATAAAGATGATAAACCAACAGTTTCATATGAAAGAGGTAAAGAAAATTCAAGACACTCTTAGCAGTGCAGTCGTTCTACGTGATGAAAGAAAGTAGAGCCATAGGCCCATACCTGAGAACTGGACATCTTCATATAATCTCTAATTGGGAGTTTTGCTGTACGAATTCCCTGTTCCTTGGCTTTCTTCAGAGTTATACCTTTCCACCGATTTCTGTCCACCAATCCGCCAACAATATAAACTTTGGCGGGATCAAGTTCATGCAGCACGGTTCCAGAATCTGCCGTAAGGTACACCAAATCATCTTTCCGTTCGGAAAACCCTTCGATATAAGATTGTCGCTCCTTCTCAATAATCCACTTATCAAACCCAGGGAGCAACTGCAATTGAGTTTCCATTTCCCCTTGCACTCCAGTCAACCAGAGGTGAGCAGGCAGATTACATCTTCCATTCACACCATAGCAGTACGTAATCTGCAGGGTTCGACGACAACAAAAAATACATTATGGATACAACGTAATAAAGGAACAAATTTAGTCATTTGCTGAAGATCCGAAGACAACCTGTTGGACGAGGCTGTGGATCTCGGAGTGTGTCATGAGGTGAGAAAATTCAAGATCAACGACGATGTTTTGGCCGGTCTCCTTGGCTTGTGTCAGTCTCTGGATTTTCTGGCCTCTTTCCTCGGTCTCTTTCTCCATTCTCTCTTTCCTCGATTCTTTTCTTGAATCTATGAGTTCAACCCTTTCGTCTTCGGATAAGGCGGCCAGTTTCTCCTCCCACTCTTTTCGCTTCCTCTCTGCATCCCTCTGTTTTTGCTCTTTCATTTGGGCTTTCTTCTCTGCTTTCTTCGCCTCGTTCTTCTGTTGCCTCAAAAGCTTCTTTTGGGCGTTCTTCGAAAGAGTCTGAGGCTGGAAATCGGGAGGGTTTGCTTCACTGTTTTGCTCATTTAGCGTGGCCTCCATCGTTGAGTACATCCGGGGAGAATTGGATTTCTCTTGTTTGCCTTCCCCTTTCGGGTTTTGTTTATGGGCAGGGGATAACTGTGTGCATGTTATTTCCTGTAATTAAGCCGGCGTCGTTTCACTTATGCTTCAGCCAAGTAAATGCGTAACAAATTAACACTTCTGTTCAATATTTACCCTACGAACGCATAATAAAAAATACTGCCATTTTTATATCGAGTAAATACAATTTCTTATATATGACATGGATGGATTAAAAAGCAATTAATTTAAGTACACCCGAACTTATAGCAACGGTCTTTTAAGAAATATAAATAAATTAAAATAAAAAAAGTGGGAAATGACATCAAATTACATACAAAATCCACAAACTGAGCCAACAAAGTTGTGATCAAATGAATTAAAATAGTTATACAACAAGTATCATTGCAGTATCAGTAATTGGGGAGTATATGTAGAATTGCTACAAGAGGAGATTATTGGCAACAACATTCTAAAGTTCACCCCATTGGTATCGGTAAGTTGCTCCTAAACTAGGCTATGGTGGCTCAAAAACTCGCCTCCTCCGTATTCGGACGCCTCAAGAAATATCGTAAACTATTAGCAAGAACCTGCCAGATTTCATAAGCACACATTGGAAATTTTCATATATAGTAAAACTATGCCCCCCCCCCCCCAACCACCACCACCGCCTTAATGGTTAATCCTATGGAATGTGACTTAAAAAGATCCTATGGAATGTGATTTAAAAAGATCATATTTCTCTATAGGAGTAGACAGTAACTGTGGTTTAGGTTATATTGTTTTTTACCTGCTGCAGAGGCTTGATGAGGGCTTTACCATTGTAGTTGACGTGAAACATTGCCTTTGCAAGCAACCCCTAGGTGACAAAGGTCCACAGTAGACAAAATTAATTATTATGCTACTACAAAGTTACTAATACCGATCCCTTGAAAAGAAGGTGAAAAGATGATCATCAAATCGTAGTTCTTAGGTGACAAAAAGAAAACGGTAACTGATCGATCACCTCAGTGTCAAACTCCCCAGACTCAACTGCAATGTTGATATCAGTGATAGCCTTCACAAGATCCACCAACAACCCTGGACGATCAGCTGTCTTCACAAATAGCAAGCTGAACCGAATTTTTTAGCTAAATAAAATTCTATGGAAATGAAGAAGGTAAAAAGGAAAAGATATCAAATCCTTTCATTTACATTAATACACCAAAGAGTCATCAGGCATGGGAGCCTACTAGCAAAATTTCAACATGTGGCCAAGGTCCTAAGCCATCAAAATTTCAAGGGCAGGTATTGCATTGTGTAAGGCGATAAGGGTAACCATTACCTTCGGTCAGGACCATCATCACGAACTCTTACGTGGGTTGCAATGTCCACATCAACCTGAGGAATTCCAAGAATGCAAAATTTAAGCCAAGATTAATGTGGGATATCATGCTCAGCTCATTAATTGATTGACAATTTGCAACACTTATGACCAGTTGCATCGGTCTCAGTAGCAAGCATGAAAAGTATCCTTAGGAATTACAATAAATATTAAAATAACAGTCCTTTCGCGTCAGCAGCAAGCTTTTTTTTTCAACATTCAACATAGGAAAATGCCCAAACTCATTCGGCGAGAAGAAAAGAGAGATTTTGCTAGAGGAATACCGTTTCTTTTGGTGGCTCAACACCAAAGGTCGCACCCATTGCTAACTGGGAGCTTGATTCCTGGACCATATAACATGTCAATAGACTTCACTAGTAGATTCCTCACCAGGAATAAGAAAAAAGAAGAGATGATTACCGGATGATATTGAAGTAAGTTGTTTATAATCGTCAATCGTATTGCCTCAAGCAGTTCTGGTTCTTCAACTTTCCTTCCAGTACTACTGCAGACACACAACGTCACTATATTAGTAAAACTGCATCTGAAATTGCATTTATAACAACTGAGACAGAAGATCCAATTTTTATCTGAGTGTTTTTAATAACAACATTGAATTTCCAAAGTTGGCCTTAAATGATCCGAGTGTATTGACTTTATGAATCAGACAAAGAGATTCTGATTGATTTGCCACGTAACAAGATTTTAATTCAAGGGAAATGAATAACCCTACTTCTTTCCAATAATTCAAGCAAAATGGTGATCTAAACTTTTGAAGATTCAAAACCTATATGATGTAGATATTACACCATCTTGCAGTCCATGAAAGGTGTTATCTGTTATGCTTATCGTATGGTTGTCAAATTTGTGTTATTTAGAAGTATAAATATAGCTTTAATAATCTCTGATGTTTCTAGAGATATATCAACTAGTTTCAACCTAATTTGAAGATAAACCAAGCCTAAAAACTGACTTATGCTGAATTAGGTGAGCATTAACCACAAACAAGAAACTTACACTCATTAACTTTCAGATACCAAAATGTGGCAGGAAATGTGATCTGCTAGAAAGGCTTAACCGAGTACCATGAGAATACAAACTGAAAATAACTTAAAAGGCATACAACTTACGCCTTAGTGATGGAAAACTTGTTGTGCTTCCCAGATGAATCCAGATAGACATTTGCCTTAGTAACATTCAACCTGAGACTTTTAAGTGCATTCATCTGCAGCTCATTAGCTAATAGTTAAGATTATACACAAAAGAGTTTCTTATCACAAAAGAGAATACAAAATTGTAAATGGAAAGCAAAATATAGATATTCTAAAGCGGTTAAGTAAAATTGGATTTATACGGTATCAAGAAGAGCTCCAAGGCGATCCCCAAAGGTTATTTCCACAACAGTGGCATCTGGATCAGAGTCCTGATCAATTATAACTTTGGGGGTTGGAACTGTATCGAGCAGACTCCCATCATTCTTCAAACGTAAAACCATAAGAAACAGATTATTAGCGAGTTAAAAAACGGTTAACAATCAAACAAATATATTACTGCTCTTCCGTACCTCTATGGCAGTGGCTGATGGTGGATTGATTCTGGTCGTAGATGATGACAATCTAAGCCTGTTATGATTAAAACTCAAGATATATACAATGTTAGCAAGTGCAAAACCAGTTGAACAGTAGCATTAGCAATTGAAGAAAATTTGGGAAGCAAAATTGCAGCCAAAGCCCAAAGGTAGACATGAAATCTGCAGTGAAGTTTGAAACTATAATGGACAGGGATATTTTAACACTAGAGTCATACTCAGATACGATTCCTAACATCATAACTCATTTTTGTCCTAAAGAAACCCTCAAGTCGTATTAAATCTGGATAAGTTGATTAAATTAACTACATCATCCGAATGAGCTTATCCAATTCCAAAGGGTATACAACTGCATTAAACTGTTTCACTTCAAGCGGCATAAGAAACACCATATGGAATTACCCAATCAACAATTTCAACACCCAGAGAAGTAAAACAGAAAAAAGATAAAGTTCAAATTTAACATAATCATACCTTCTCCCAAGAGTGTTGGGTTGTTTGCTAACAAAGGTAGCCGGCAGACAATGGTTTTTGATTTCAAATAAAGTAAGGCAGTTAGTGTTGCTGCTAAAACATACTGCACAATTAGCAGCAGAAGCCATAGCTACTATGATTATAGAGCTGAAGAAAGAAGCAGAAGCAAAGAGAAGAAAGAAACAGAGAGATCAAAGAGAAGAAGATGAAGCAAGTTTGAAGCAATGAGAGTTGTAAGCTGAGGGTCTCGTTTTATCCGCCATTAGAGATTAGAGAAAGAAGATAACACTCAATCTATTTTGCTCCTCTCTTTTCGTTTTCTTCAATTTTTGAATCACTCCTCTATAATATCTCCCCAACGTTTAAACCGATCCATCAACTTTACTGAGACGTGTTTGGTTTCAGCATTTATCCATCCCCACCCGCTAAACAAACGACGACTTTGAGAACCTCGATAACCAAACATGGCCTTACAAGTTGCGGAAGTGAAGAAAATAATTTGGGGCGTCTGTCTGGGACAACTAACCTTAAATCTGACAATGCCCAAATTACCCTTATCCTTACAACAAGCGCGATGGCGTTAGGTCCACGCCGGCAACGCTTACTAGTATTGTTGAAATTCTTGTATTTCATAGGTTTTAGTAGAGTTATATAACCGGATATCCGTAACGACTGCAAAAACAATAGTAATTTAAATCTCAGATCATGATAATTTAATGGTGTTTGCTGACATCAATTAGTTGTTAATTAAGACTGTTTGTTTATATATATATATATATATATATATATATATATGTCCAGTAAGCTAAGCGACAACCTGGGAAGAATGTAAAGTCTTTACACTTTATTCTCCTGTGAATTAATTGGTGCACTGAATGAAGAACCATTCAGTCGGTGACAAAAATCCCCCGTCATGGGAGTTGAAGGTGATGAAAATGGCTGCAAAGCTAGCTCCAGGAAAGGATAAGATAAGAGAGCAAAATGGCCACACAATTATGGCATTAATTGAAGGAGAAATAAATAACTCACTAATATCTACCATATACATGAACCGGCAACTTCACTCAGCATAACAATTGGAACTACTCTAAAGTTCAAATGAAGGAGAAATTAAATAAAGAAATACAATAATCAGGGTATACCCACTATTTGATTTTACATTTAATTGATCCCGGTAAAGGAAAACGTGAGCTAGAAAATGAAAAGAAAAACCTGAAGCACATGCATGACTTCTATGTAACCTCGTCTCTATAACAGGTCCATCAAGACAGGTAAACCGGATTAGCTCTACTTGTATTTTCGTATAAAACCGAAATGTCTCACCGGGGGAAATGTAGAAATCCAGTGATTCACCCACTCCACCGTGTAAATATCCTTCCTTATCATATTACCATCCACCTATGTGGCGATTCCTGGAAAATATGGGTAAGCAACAGAAAATGAGTACCACAATGAAGCACCTAACATTATCTGTTTGTGGACTAATAGCTGGTAAATGGGGTTCTTTTCATTACTAAACATCTGTTGATGATGTTCTATAACATGAAAGATGCAGAGACTTTAGTTTGTTAAAGAGAGCAATATGTCTGAGGGGGAAAATAAAAGTAGACTAATGGAACAGTAAAATAGAAAATAAATCGTCTTACCCCCATTTGACTGCCTATTCGTAACACCATAACCACTAATGTAACCAGCAACGTTATTAGCTATAACATCAGAACTTGTATTTCACTGACCGAAATCGAAAGAACTGGACAGCTCTAGGTCTAAGGGCAAAGATCGCCAAGTAGAATCCCCATAAAATGAACCATTTTCAAAAATATCAGAATAGCAATCATTTGAAGCACCATGGGATGATACCCGGGCATCACTGGTTTTCTCGTGGCCTATCACTCCGGACGCAACACCTAAATCTCCACTGCCATACCTAAGAATGTCGTAAGCAGAAGCAGAAGTGCAGCACCTCCACTTGGACCTGACTTAGGAGAGGAATCCCAAAGTGATCCCATACTGCTAAAGGAACTCACACATGTTTTCCCACTTCGAGATCCCACAATAGGACTAGAGTTTGTGGAGTTAGTAGCATAGCTAAGACTTCCATTTCCCCAAATATTTTGACCTGCTGAGTTTAAGACAGAACTATTCACTCCACTGCCCACACCATACCAAAAACGGCTGGCAAACCGGTCCGAATTTCCACTAAACGAAGTGTTCAATCCTCGCCCATAGCACAGTTTAGAACAAAGGTTTGAGTTCCATCCAGAACTTGGACTCAAATTTGATTCAAGATTCAGTCCAAACCCATAACCATGGTTCGATGGAGAAAATCCACTCTGACCAATAGTACCTGGACTAGATCTACCTTCCATTCTAACACCATAACCTCTGACTGAATTAGTATTACAACCCTGCATGTGACCAGTAAGGAAGCTATTGACTCTATCGAGACCAAAGTTATATCCACCTAACTGGTTCCGACTTGGACCTAAAGATGATTCTTTGGGGACAGCACGCTTGACCTCAACCATTTTCCTGTTGAGTTCATGAAATGTTCTCTGCAAGACTTGGATCTATAATACATTTTTCTTCCCCATCATACAAATTACAAGTTCACATCTTCTCTTTGATGCTAAATAATTACCAATGATTCATTTTACAGTTTAGCAAATTGTGTTCTGAATATACTGTTTCATCCCAATGAAACTGAAAGAAGAAGGTCTTTGTCATTCAAGTATAGTCTACGATAAGCATCAGGTCTATGTAAAATTTATTCTAATACTTAAAGTGATTTTCTATGGGTGATTAAACTGCAGAATGAAGCTGTTGACATCGACTGATGTTTGGGAATCTATCACCTTCAATGGCCCTCGAAAGGTAAATACATGTTACTTGAGTCGTTCGTACTCAACAGCAACATGCTGCCAATCAAACCTCACAATGTATAATACAAACATCAAAATCAAAACTAATAAAACAAAGGCATGCCTTAATAAGAAAAAGCCAACCAATCATGATTAAAAAGAAAAAGAAATGATCATACGAATGGCCATCAACTACACCGAGACAAGGAACTTTAATGTTTTGAATGGCAGGCTATACAATCATATTATCAAAGAAAAAGTATGTTTCAGAACGTATCACATTACAAGGGAGTTAAAAAAGGTTAGGAACTTACAGTTCTACCATCTATTATATGCTCTTTCATAACAACCTTTTCTGCAATAGCCGGGTCGGCATAAACAACAAACCCGAACCCACGGGCACGACCGGTTGTCCGATCCTTCATTATCACAGCTTCCACAACTTCCCCAAAAGTTTCAAAATACTGTCTAAGGCGGTCCTCATTTGTGCCCCAAGAAATCCCGCCGATGAATAGCTTGCCAACCTCCATTTCCATTCTGAACACAATATCAATATAGTCTTGCTGAATATTGAATTCTCAATCAATCATAAACGAAATGAATAAGCATATCATTAAAAAGAAACATGTTCAACAATTGAAGAAGGAAAACATCGGATCTAGAATCCGACTCGTAATTTCATGTAAATAATGTCAGATATAATCGAGGCTTTGTTTTCTTGAATTTAAAGGCAACACACAATTGATCATCATTTCTCCAACATAAACAACGTAATGTAGAATAAACAAAGATAACTGTGACTTGTCGGGACACGAAAATCAACCCAAGCTTTGTTATTCATGTTGTTGGATTCGATCGAAAAACATAAGACCGATTACGGATCGACCAACAATCCAGGATTCCCAGAAACCAAAGCATGAAAAATGGAGCAGCTTTAATCTAGTTTGGAGGAGAGAATGATATCGAACATACCGGTGGGGGGGACCCCAGAAGGGAAAGCAAGAAAATCTAAGATCTGAGAGGAAGCATAACAAAAAGAGAGGGCTGAAAGGCCCTCGTTTTCCTCTCTTCTTTTGTTTCTTCCAATTACTGTGTTTGAATATCAATGGAATTGGGATGTATAAATAAGAAGAAAAACACGTGTGCCAGTGGTGTAAATGAATGGATTCTGTGCATCCAACAGAGAGGCTGAGAGCGGATAAAGAATGGATATGAAATATTTGAATTTATATATAAATTTAGAAGAGAGAAAGAGAATGGCGTTGGGGGCTAAATCTTACAAGAAAGTAGTTCAGGAGACGATGGATAACTTCTCTGTGTTTCTAAGTTTAAATTTAATTTAAAATGTCGTCTCAACGCGGTTTAAATATTAGAGGATTAATTATAAATAGCTATGCATCCAACCTTAATAATATATAATTAATAATGTGAAAAACAGGAGGGATTGGTTTTGCACCAAAAACAACTCAAGTTACATACTAATAATGTTTGTCCAGTTATATATATATATATATATAAGTTGATAGTCTTATTAAAAAATGAAAATATTTAAAATTATAATAAGAGTTTATAATTATCATAGTAAACTAAATATATAATTTAGATATTTTCTTATAACATTGAAATTAGTCATTTTAGATTATATAAGGATCATATATAGAAAATGTTAAAAACTCAAACAAAAGAATCGAATAAAAATAAATACGAACAAATCTAACTACATCGGTAAATGAATTACAAAAGGAGATTAAGATATTGAAATACTATTAGAAACCACATATCAGAGTCGAGAGTATGAAAAACTATCCAAAAAAGTAAAATTGCGTAACGAAATTCAATATGATGATCTATGGCAGGAAAGATCAACATGGTTACAAATAAGTGTTATCTTTATCAGTCATGACGTCATCAAATCCAATACTGAGAAAACATAAAAAAAAGTCAAACGACCAAGAAAGAAAACAAAATATGTGACATGGAGGTAGAAAAAAATGTGTCACAAAGGCATAATTGTTCTTATTAAAAACTAAAAAAGAAACAAAGAGAAAAGAGAACCAACGGTCAATAACCCACGTTAAAAGTGATGTTGCCATCGACTAAACAAAATAAATAAATGTAACACCCTTAGCCCGTATATGTCTTATAATACGAGCTAAAAATGTCACACCAATTCAACATTTGTTGAACTTAAATGCTAAATTTTTTCCTTAATTATATAAATTTATAAAATATTGTTTAATCATTGAAACTAATTCGATTTCAGTCAGTAATTAGGCAGTTCAATGTTGTTTCATATCCAAATACAACTGTCTATTACCACTTGATTTTAAACCATTTAAAATATAACATTTATACTATTCATTCATAAATACGATTAATACTAAAATTAGACAAAACTAAAGAAAATAATCACTAATTACTATTACAACCCCTTTTAAAATAAATCTGATAAAGCAACCCAACAGATATAATATACACATCACTAATAAGTGAAAGCTATGATGTCTTACTGATACTGTAATAGGTTTAATTTTCCATAAGATGTTGCCAAAGTCCTCACTTTACATCCACTACTTTATTCGAACCTACGCATGAAAATCATCATGAGCTAAGTAAATTAGTGAGGTAGAATATAACTAAAACATAAAATCCATAAAATATAAACAATAAACTAGAAATTTAAATTAAAAAAAAATAATAAAAACTTCAAATCGGGCTAGTCACGCCGTTTTTCTTTTGGAAAACTGAAAATATCATCTCATGATTTTATCAAAAATTATGTAAGTCATCATTAAATATCATAAATATTATTCTTTTTATTTGAATATATTTCATAACTTTCTTTTCAATTCTATGTTCTTTTCTTTTATATATTATCATAACTTTCACACTTATTGTTATAGCTCAATGTATATGCAAGAGAATACAAGGTACGTGAGTATAAGATGCGCACTAGGCACAACACGATGCCGAATAATAACTGAAATTGCGATATGATGCACTAAACAATCATAACATGAGCACTAATGATGCTGAACATTGGTACACGAATGTACCAAAGCTAAATTGATAATTGATAACTGATAAGAACTCACTTAATGACGTGTCAAATGTACTTACGACTCTCAATGCAACATACAATTGAGCTTATATTTATCATCATAGAATCATTTATTAATCTAAGTCTGATAATTGTAAAACATTTGTTAACTGTAAACATCTGATAACTGAAAATCATCTGATAACTATAAATATCTGATAACTGAAAATCATATGATAATTGTAAACATTTAGAATTCATCATCATAAATATCATACTTGGTTAGTTCATATCCAAAATATTTCATAAAACTTGATGAAAAATATTATAGAAATATTTCATACTGAAAATTCATAAATCATACTGGAAAATAAAATGAGGTTGACTTATCGCAAGTCGTCCTCGATCAGAGTAAATAAATAAATAAACTATAATTGTTTGAACAATTTACGTATAAATCAAATATAAGCTTCACTAAGCTTTAAAAATTATTTCCACTACAAAATTTATTTAAATTCCATATTCTAACAGTTTGTACTACTTTTAAAGAAATATTATTCTGTATTAATATATATATATATATTGAAAAATTATTTCATTTGCACCACTGAAAACTAGACTCAAATAAAAATCTAACTATATAAGGCACTCCATATAGTTCCACTTGTACAATTTATAGCAAATTTTCAAAGTTGACTGACAGAAACTGTTTTGGCTAGAATATGCTATCTTATTTTCTGACCTACCACTGATTAAAAATTTATATGTTTTTGTATACTCCTTCAAATCAGTTGTTGTTTGTTCTAAACAAAACTAGATTGATATACGAATCCAATGGTATAAAATTCATTATCTAATCATTTTATTTAGAATTTCTGATGATTTTTTGAACTTATTGTTCAAAATATAATTTCTAGGCAGATTTTACCAACTAGTGTTCTTGATTCATTCACTAGTTCTATTAGCTTACTAAATAAACATATAAACTTGAATCACACTTCACATAATATTAGAAGTCACTTCTTAATTTAACTATGCATTGACTCATCGTAAGCCAATGTTTGGTCGAAACATATATACAAATGAAATACACTCACCTTTGCCTCACTATCAACTCTTCTCAACGATAATATTCTTGATTCAACACTTTTTCCTTCCCTTTCAAGCTACTTAAATCACTAAATTTAATGTGGACTGACGACGTCATATAATAACATAGAATATTCAAACTATTCGTTAGTATCAAACTAACGTAATCTAAACTTAAATATAAAATTCGATAAAATTAAATATGATACTTAAATTGATATAAAACTAAATCGTACTTCCATGGTAATTTCAAATTTCTCAAAATATTCCTTAAATTCCATGAATATTCATTTCACTATCAACTCTTCAACTTTTACTAATTTCCTAATCCAACCAGAATTCTTTTTAGAATTCGTATCAACTTTCTTATTTAATCCATAATGGTTTTTCACCATTATGATCATTTCACATTAATCACATAAAAATTCCAGCACCTCAACAAAATATTAAAATCAACACTTAAACATTCAAAAGCTTGCAATTTCATCCTAAATTTTCTTAGACTTTTCAAATTCAACTACACAACTTGATAAACTTAGAATTAAATCTCAACTTAAGAATTAAACCCAAAAATCAGCATATTAAATAAATTTCCAGCATTACAATAATTTACTCAAATGATACTTACACATTTAATAAACTTAAATTTAAGTCCCCATAGTATTGAGACTTTTCGAATTCCACCCTCAAATTTTACCAAATTTGAAATTTGGTTCCAGACAACTTTCCAACTTAAATTTCCAGCATTTTCAACTATAAAAAATCAGCATTAACTCTTCAAATATTACATTCTTGCAATAATATCCCACAATTCTCAACACTTGTTATATTAACCTTTTTACTTAGGGGTGTTCAAAATTCGGTTTTAACCGAATTAATCGACCGAACCGAATTAGTTCGGTTAATTCGATCGGCCACCGAATTAATTCGGTTGGGGAACGGTTAAGGATTTTTTTGGAATTCGGTTAACGGTTAATTCGGTTCGAAATCGGTTAATTAACCGAATTAACCTTTAAATATAATTATATTAAGAGGCCCATTCCATTTAAAATCCATTTAAAACCCAAATCAATATTAATTAATTAAAATAATATCAAAACTAAATGCAAAATGTTTGAATCAAATTAATTAGATATTATTTATAATTAGATATTATTTAAATTAATTGTAAATTGTTAAAATTCTAAAAAAATTCGGTTAATTCGAAAATTAACCGAAATTTATTCGGTTCGGTTAATATTTTCGAAAAAAAGTTCGGTTCGGTTAACGATTAAAGAAAAAAAAAATCGGTTAATTCGAAAATAGTAGTTCGATCGGTTCGGTCACCGAATTAACCAAATGAACACCCCTACTTTTACTAACTCAAGGCTCCAGATTGATCCAAATTGATCTCCAAGTCAC